ATATATATATATATATATATATATATATATATATATATATATATATATATATATATATATAGCAAATGAGCAATATAACACAAATAGCAGTGCAATAAGGCCGTATATCGGCACCGGTTGGAGGCGTGTATCCCACCAGTGTCTGACCAGTGCTAATATAGCACTACTACAAGTGTAATATTGCATTTATACACAGTTTAACGGCACAATCATGTATATAAAAAGAAAATCAAAAACGGACAGTCAAAAAATCCTTTTGTATGAGGAACTTCTTTCTTCCATTTCTTCACTTCTGCAGCTGACTGTCAGAACAGCAGAAACTGTTGCTAACTCACCAACGTCACTTTAGAGCTAGTGTTTGAATGAATCTCTTGCACAAAATATAAAGTGATGACAAAACAGGTAAGTCTAGAGACATTTCCCAGTATTTCTCTGTTGCAATAAGGAGATCACAATAATTAACCCCAAAAAAAGCCAAAGCAACTTGGATTTGCAATAAGGAAAAATACTGAACACATGCAGGAATTTCTTCTTTCTTTCTTTTTACTGAAGTAGTCTGCAGTAACAAAAACAGGAGACTCATTAGAAACAAATGGAAGTACTCAGGGTTATACATAGAGTGGCTAACACAAAATGCATACATTCCTTATGTATAAATCCCACCTTACAGTCAATACACAACAATTAATATAGTATAAATACAGCACTGCAACATACAAAAGAGAAAGATCGGCTTAGAATGTCACTCCCTAGTTTTATAATGATTTGATCAGAAATTGCGCTGAGTTTTTCTCCTCGAATGGGGTATTATGCAGTCTCTGTTGCATCTGTGGATGGACCATGGATGGATATCTACGCACTTTATCTCAGAAATTGTAAATATTTGCCTTAAAAGTACATTATGTTGTCCAACAGCTGCAATATTTGTCAAACTGTAGTGAGTTTATTGATCTGTAATACTGAAGGGTGAGGAGGCTATATGACTGCTGTTATTGCAGAAT